TTTTTTTTTAGAGACAAATAATCACATGTCTTCAAATGTAAAAATGGTCATGTTGATTGTATTTATTGGCTATGTATGTAACATTTTCTCTGCCTTTTTTTCCTTCTTGTTTTTTTTTTCTCTTTTTGCACTGTTAATTATTTAAGTAAGTTCGGTATTTGTTTGTTTAAATTTTCTGATACTTTTTTCTCCTCACCTCTTTTCTCCCCTACCCCCCTCTCATCAAAAAGCACTTTGACGAAACATGTGCTTCTGTTATTGAATAGAGAAATTTTTTTTCTTTAAAACGACAGTTTAAAAATGAGGTTAGCGGAAAGCAACAGCAGGCAATTTGGAAGGTGAAAGGTTGAAAATGAAAAAGGTGAGGGAGTGAATGGAATGGATAAAGGCGAAATGTGATGTATTGGAGGGTGAGGGAGGGGATGAAGAAAAGTACGAATAAACAACTTACAGCTTAAAAAGTCTCTTTCTTTGATCGAACTACAAAAGTATATCAACCAGTTTGATTGAAACTTTGTTATACGGTTATTGTAGATGTGTTACTGTTGTTATCCCTGAACAGTATTTCTGTAAATCCGGTGAAAACAATTGGTTGGTTACATTCAGTGAAAGCTTAATTGGTCAATGATGTCATGGCATTAGACAAGTCTGAGAGGGGAATCTATTAGTCGACGCCAAAGTCTACGTGACTGTTCTGTTGAGCAGTTGCCGAAACTTTTGTCTCAGTTTGTGTTCACGTCTTGGTTCAGAAAACACTACATTTTTTGCAGTTGTTAGAAACAACATCTTAACCCATCTCTTACAGAAGTTTCCTTTTTTTCTCTTTTTTTTTTTCTTGCTTTTAGACTTTTTATTTTCTGTTCAAAGATTTTTGAACTTCATTGCCGGATTGTTGAAGCAATGAGAAAACAAATCAGTGTTGAACTATTAAATGCGATAATATAACTGTTGATGTTGAATTTTTATTGAGCACTTAGATTTAGCTTCGGCGAATAGAAAAAAAAAATTTTCAATTGTTTTAGACAATCAAGCTAAAACTAACGCAAACAGCTCTAGTTTCAACTGCTGCTGTCTCTAATTTTTGGTTTTCCTTGCTTTTTTTTTCTTTTTTTTTTTCAAAACTGCTTTTTAAACATATTACAGCTCTGATGTAACATCGTTTTTATTTTTATGAAAAAGAATCAATTTTTCAAACTGCTGTTGCTGTTGTTATTGTTGTTGTTGTTGGTGGTGATGATTTCGGCTTGCTAAAATGAAGACTACTGAATTGTTTAGAAAAAAAAAAATTCGAATTTTTTTCTGTCAGGAGAAAAGTTTTCTTCTGTCAAAGATTATGCTAAACTATAAAATACTATAAAATAACCTAGAATTATCTACTGAAAGCTAACATTAAAATCTACATTGATTAGTTTACAATCAAAAGTAAAATTTTCTTTTATGATTTTTATGAGGTATGCGGCAAAAGATTTTGGATCAAACTTCTTATAAACCAAATTATTCTGTTGATAAAACCATTATCTAAATGCATCAGCTAAAATATCAGATAATTTATATAGAAAATTTTAACCCAACAAGTTGTTCAGTGGTAAATTAAAAATTTTAAAATACAGCAGCTAAACGAAAGCGACGACGACGACGACGACAACGATACTTTTAGTTGGGAAATTAATCTGTTAAACAAAAATTGCTACGCTGAGTAAACTGTATTAAGTTGTTCAGCAACTTTGAAAGCATTTTTTTGCTGATAACAGTATATCAGTAAGGAAAATGAGATTACCATTTTCCAAATTTATTATCAGATAAGTGAAAAGTTTAAAAATCATCGAAACTTCAGTATTTTTTATACAAAATACAATCTGTCCGCTGAATTGAACGGTGGAAAGACAGCAAAATAACCGCAGAAGCAAGTGGATATGTCAAAAAAAGAATGTCAAAAATTCAGACTTTTGACTTTAACATTAGCAAAAAAAAATCATTTGAAGAAAAAAAAAGCAACAGATCAA